GTTTCCATTTGACGGTTATGAGCATGAGAATCGAGTTCTCTTGAGCTCTCAAGGCAGAAGTAAAGCTTAGTTATTTCTGTTTCTTTCCTTTGTTAGTTATTCAGTTAACTTTGCCATGCTTTTCTCTACTTTCTTTTTCCTTATTAGGTTATTGATTTGTAAGGCAGCAAACATGAATTAATTGAATTAAATCATATCTTCATTCTTCATGCTTAGAAACCTGTTGATGGCAAAAAATGGTCTAGTTCTGACTGGACATTAGATCATCAAGAACTGGCAAGCAAATTTAATTCTAAAACCAAAGCTATAATCCTAAATACTCCACATAACCCCCTTGGCAAGGTGAGTCTGTTACCTCCTTATGCAGCCTTGTGGTCCCTCACTTTCTCACGTGTTGAACAATGATTGGCCCTGCTCTTTTGTTCCCTTTAATTTGTGCAGGTGTTCACCAGCTCGGAGCTCCAAGTGATTGCTGACCTTTGCATCAAATACGACGCGCTGTGCATCAGTGATGAAGTTTATGAATGGCTCGTGTATACTGGAAACAAGCATTTAAAAATAGGTACCGGTTCTTACATAGAATCGCAGATCTAAGTGTGTTTGAGCACATGTTTAGTGTGTGACTGTTTAATGTGTGACTGGAAAGTCTCCCAGAACAGCTTTAAAGAAGTCTTCGTGATGGGAAAATGTCTGTATGAGCACTTAAAGTGGGATTTGAGTGAATGATGCTGGAGTGAATGAATGAACAGACTGAAACAAACTGTACAAGCTTAGAGGGAGAGATTTTGGATCACACTACAAAGCTATGAAACCAGAAAAATGGTACCTCTGCCTGTATCCTTAGCTTTTCCCCAGAAATCTGGCTGTTACTCAGCACATGAGACATGGGCTTGCTTGTTCCTAAACTGGTTTGTCCCTGTTGAGCAAGTTGCCAAAACGCCAGGTCAACAGGAGGAAGCTGCAGGGACAGTAGGGGTACTGCTGTGCGGCCCTTGCCCAGGATTTCACTGCACTACCAGGCCATCTCACAGATGCCACAGTATCTTCTAGAAGGGGTGATCCAGACCTTGATGTCAACTCTAGGTTTGTAAACTGGGCTGCAACCTTTGTGTCTTTGCACTTGCCCTTCCTCTACCTGGAAACACATTTCCCCCAAATACCCACAAGGCTCAGTCTCTCACCTCCCTCGGATCTCTCTTCGTAGGTTGAATTTCGTTGACCACAACGTTTAAGATAGTTGTATCTCTCCTTCCAGCATTTGTTTTGTCCTTTTTTTCTGTATAACAAATACCAGGATCTGTATATTTGACTTTTAACCTACAAGAAGGTAGGTATTTATTTGTTTTGGTCTCTTCTCAATCTCCTGTTCCCCGAATAGGGTTTTGTGCGTGGTAGACCATCAGAAAGTCATTGCTGAATAAATGAATAGGAAGTATGAAAAGGAAAAGGGAAGGATAACTAAAATGACCGTGGCAGAAACCAATACATTTTAAAAAGAGTGCTCTCATACATAAATAGTTGCACGTATCATAATTACCCCTGTGGTGCATTACAAATGACAAGAGACAGAGAGGTGATCAGCAAAGGAGTGGGCAGCAGAGGTCACTTCACCCGTCTTGTCGATCTCTGTCTCGGGTCATTTGAACTATTCCCCAGTTGAGAATCAGACTGACATGGACAGTTAACTTTTTCAGTAATTTTTTTAGATTAAGCAGAGAGATAAAGAGGCATCTATCTAATGAATAAGTATAATTTTATACTCAACATTTTATGTATTTTACAAATGTTTGTGTCTGTGCAATAATGACTGAAAGCTTTCAAATTTTAGTGAACTCAGTGTAGCAATTTTCTTTCCAAAAGGCTTGAAATTTGTTTAAACCCTATATTGTAAGCCCTTCATGGCAAAGTGTAAACACTATTATTTGCTAAAGATATCAAGACATATATCTTTAACTCAGATTTTTTAGTTGTTAGAATAACTCATAAAGTTAAAACAAGAAAAAATGAATTCACTATTTTATTATTTAGAGAGTGCAAAAGCACGAAAATGTATTCTGTTAAACACAGCGGCCTTCGTTACACGAAAGATGCAAAATGGCTACTCCATCATCTGCAGAGAGGCAGGTCTCGAGTCTGACACCGTAAGGCTTGCTGGCCGCACATCATGCAGTTGGCGTCATCTCCATGTTGTCACAGAGGCAGTTTTCCCTGGTGTGGTTTTCACTCTTCATCATGTCTCTAACCTTCATCTGACTTATATTGAAGCCTAAGTTGCCAGTGAATAATTGTTACAGCTGCCGTGGCCGATTTAAGGATCATGGGTCATAGAGGAGACGTGCAAAGACCAGTTGCCATTTGATATAGTTGCAAGCTAAACTTACCAGTACTGGACACAGGATATAGTTTTTTGAAATCATCAGACCTGCAAAGATTTTTTTTTCCCTCTAGGTTACTGAATTCACACACAGTGCTATGGTCATCTGCTCTGCCTGTTTACATTCTGTAGCTCCCCAAATCTCTTGAGATGGAGAGGACGTGAATATCTAGATGTTTTTAAATTACTTATGGCCCTTTTTGTTGAAATAATAGAATTTGTTCTTATTGGATCAGATTTTTGATTCAAGTGATGTCTCCAGGTAAATGACATTTCAGTCAACAAAAGAAACTTCTCTTCTGGAAGAGATGGATACTGATACACTGGTATTTATGTACTAATCCATTGATGTATGGAAAATTAGTATAAAATTCCTTGTAAATTATTCAGCTGATTAGCTTAGTCTTTGAAGAAAAGACATTACTCTCTTTATTTATTTATTTTTTACAGTTAACACTTTTTATGTGTTTTTAAAATTTTTTTATTTATTCTGGGGGTGGGGGATAATTAGGTTTCCTTATTTATTTAAACAGAGGTGCTGAGGATTGAACCCAGGACCTTGTGCATGCTAAACAAGCACTCTAGCACTGAGCTCTACCCTCCCCTCCAAGATATCTGCTTCTATATGGCCGAAAGAGACATCAAGAAATTAGTTAGCTCACCTTTTAAATACTATACTTAGATTTGATATTTTATGTTTGAAACCTACATTTGATGTGTATGTAGTTTTTATTTCCTTCATATGTAACTTATATTGAAAACATGCTAGAGGATTGTATTAGTGTCTCTGGGTAATCCTTACTTTAGGAAAATTTATTTTTAGGTATTCTTACTAGTAGGCCTTCCTGATTTGGATATGTATTTTTATTTTAAAGGAAGTGATACTCTGAATTAAACATAGTTCTCTGGTCAAATAGGAAAGTGGGACATGTGTTGTATTCTTTGGAAATACCTTGGAAGACTAGAAATGTCTCAACTTGAAAGGATATAATTATTTACATCGAATGTTAGAATATTCCTTCTTCCTCTCTCCTCTCTCTGAATATTTTCTTCATCTCTTGTTTTGGGTTTCCTTATACTCCACAGAAAATACAGTGGTAACTTTCCTCATTTATATAGTTTTCCCACCTTTACAAATATTGGCAGGTATTTCATGATAGACTGAAATGCATATGCATCCATTTTGAACTTCCTTTAGCCACCTTACATTTTAGTAGGCACTTTGTTTGCTTAGGAGAAGATTACTTCAAGAAGACAGTAGCTTAGACCCTCCCCAGAAACAGGTATTTGTTTTCCCTTTGTGCATACTAATATTCCTAGAACAATGCAAGAGAATCTGTTGTACCTCTAAAAAAAACAGGTGAAAACCTTGTGGGATTGTGTATGAAGAATTTCACAACTAAATCCCTTGAGGACTCCATCGAGCAGTGTTGTGGGTAGCGTCCCCAGAAGACTAACAGAGAAGTAAGGTACCAGTGCCCAACAGAGTTCACAAACTCTTGCATTTTATACCTCCATGACTTCGATACCTGAATCCTCTTTGGCCAAAACACCTTTCTTCCCCTTCTCTGCTGGGCAGAGGCCCCTGTGGTTGTCCAGGCATCGCCTCAGGCGTCCCTGGCTGCAGAGGGTTACCCTGACACCTCCTCCTGCACACTGCAGAATGCTCCGTGCCTGCTGCTGTTCCGGCACTAACCGCACTGCACTGCAGCTGCTGCTCCGCTTGTCCCCTGCCCCCGCTAGACAGTAAGCCCCTCATCTTTGTTTTCTCTAGACCTAGCTTAGTCCCTGGCTCCTGATCATTGCTAATAAATGTTTAATGAGTGACTGAGTAAGTGAATGAATGATTTTTATTAAAGATGTCAGTCAACTTGAAAACTTTTACATAGTTGTTTCTCATTATTCATGGAATTTTTATTTGTGAGTTCATCTGCTCACTAAAATGTATTTGTAACCCCCAGATGAGTAGAGTGTTTCATTCACAGACATGTACAGGGGAGGGAAACATTAGAGTTGCCCCATGTGTGTGTTCCCAGTTGAGGTCAGCAAGGCAATGCTCTGCCTTCTTATTGCAGCTCATTCTGTAAGCATATGTCCTTTTCACAGTGGTTTTGCTGTTTAAAGTGGCCCCCAAATATAGTGCTGAAGTGCTGTCTAATGTTTCTAAGGGCAGGAAGGCTGTGGTTTGCATCGCAGAGAAAATACATGTGTTAGGTAAGCTCCACTCGGGCGCAAATTCTAGGGTTACTGGCCATGGGAATATTAGTGGGTGATATCCAACAGATACGGAGCTCCTTTGAGGTTGAAAAAAAAGTTTCACATTTGATTGTGGTGATGGTCACATAACTCTATGGCTCTTATATACACTAAATGAATGAACTATACATCATAGGATTTTTGACTCAGTCGTTAGCAGAACACACACACACCCTCTCACACGTGCATGCAGATCGCTGGCCCTTCGCCAGAGTTTCTGATGATCCAAGAATTTCCGTTTTTTGCAAGTTCCCCGGTGATAACTGATACTGCTGGTGTGGGAACCACATTTTAAGAACCATTGCCTTAGGAATCCTGTAGAAATAGACTTGGAAAAGGAGCAGAGTAGAGGCAAGCTATACAGTAGCCAGGACCACAACCAGAACCAGAGCTGCAGAGTGATGGCGTTGGACACCCAGCTGCTGCTGACACCGAGCACGCCGGGTGCTCTGGCTACTGTGACCACGATGCTGAGCCGGCTCAGAGTGCTGCCTGCGGACACTTCTGCCGCTCCTGCCCTGGGTAGTAGTTTTGCCGCTTAAATGTATTCAAGCATGGTAGCATTTTCAACTGTGTTTGGGTTAAAAAATTATCTCTATGGAGATAACTCTACTGACCACACCATTAGGCATTTATGTTTTTAGGTTAGACTGACTGTAGATTGATTGGAAAGCAATTATTTAACCTTTTTTTTTCTTCCTTTTTTTCCTGTTCAGCCACTTTTCCAGGAATGTGGGAGAGAACAGTAACGATCGGGAGTGCTGGAAAGACTTTCAGTGTAACTGGCTGGAAGGTGAGAGGAGCGAGAATTTGATTGTTTGAAACAGGCATGCATTTTATTTCTTGTAGAGTTGTGTGTGTGTGTTTTAAATGCATATGTATTTAGTTTCACAGGTTTTTCTACTCACTGCTGTTTTCCTTATTTACTCATCCAGTTTTCATGTTGGCCTTTACCCTTTTTGAGACCTAATCATTCCTTTAAAAGTAAGAAAAAAATTAGGTGATTCTTTTAATAAATAACCAACTAATGATACTTTTTTCTTTGCAAAGAATGTTCAGATTACTGCATGTTAATATAAAAGGAGAAAAAATAATAGCTAACATTTTGGCATTTACTGTGTGCCAGGTTCTAAGAGCTTCATACATACTGATTCCTTTTATTCTCGTAACCGTATTATGAGGTAGGTATAGTTTATTATTCCCATTCACAGACAAAACTAAAGTACAAAGAAGCTGAGTAACTTGCCTAAGGTTACACTGCTAATAAATTTAAATTCCAGCTGGGACAGGCAGTCTAGCCTCAGAATCCATGCACTTAACCACTGCACTATGTAATACAGCCAGAAAATTTATTCACCACATGATATCACTTATATGTGGAATCTAAAAAAAGAAAGATACTATGAACTCATCTACAAAAGAGACTCTCAGACTTAGTAAACAATGTTATGGTTACTGGGGAAAGGGGGTGGGAGGGGATAAATTTGGGAGTTTGATATTTACAAATGTTAGCCACTATATATAAAAATAATTTAAAAAAGTTTAGCACAGGGAACTATGCTCAATATCTTATAATAACCTTTAATGGAAAAAATATGAAAACGAATATATGTATGTATATGCAAAACTGGAACATTGTACTGTATACCAGAAATTCTTGACCCATTGTAATTGACTGTACTTCAATTTAAAAAAAGGACAAAAAAAACCTTATCTTCCCAGCTTCACCTCTCCTGAATTTGGGTAAGAAGCAGGGAGTATCAAAATTACGGCTGAATCCCTTACAGCCCTCATTCAGGCATACTTTTACCTGTATCTAATTCAAACAAGCTTTGTTCCTGGTCATGAGACCTCCAGAATATCAGAAGCTGCAACATCGCAGTGGAGGAGAAGATAATCTATTGTGGGCACTATTTCCCTTCTGAAGGCAGAGTTTAGTGACTCCAGTTGGAAACTATTCCACAAAAAGAACAGGGTTGAAATAATTCTACCTACTAAAACTACATGCCCCACTTTCATGGTGTGAGCATTTTGGAATTGCATGTATTTATTAATTGCATTAAGCTTAGCTCGTCTATCAGATTTGGTACTTAGACTCATTTTTGAAATCTGCTTTTACCGTTTTCTTTCCCAGCTTGGCTGGTCCATTGGTCCTAAACATTTGATAAAACATTTACAGACAGTTCAACAAAACAACGTTTATACGTGTGCAACTCCTTTACAGGTAGGTGTTGCAGTCACTTGGGGTTGAGCAAAGTCTTTGGGTGGTGTTATTTTTATTATGTGTACTTGAATTGCCTTAATTCTTCTCTTCATGTCCTTTTTGAGCAGGAATTCTAGTATAATTTGAGAATTTAAGCCAAACACATATTCACTGCTATCAAGAATAGTTTTTTTGTTTGTTTTTAATACATGAAGCTTTAACTTTGAACACTCATATATTGCTGGTGGGATCACAGAGGAATGCAAACTCTGGAGGACAGTGACAGCCCCAAGCAAAGTTGTAGATGTCCGTGCTTATGAAGCTCATGAAGGGAAATTACCCGAAAGCTGTCATCTGCACATGTCAGAAGCTTCTTGTGTACATGGCCATTTCATTTTCATTGCAGAAGTTAGGGGATAGTCCGTCTATGGATAATCGATTTAATAAACCATGATCTGTTTAAACATTTAAATATTATATGACTGTATTAGTATCCTGTTTCTCTGTACCAACTTACCACAAACTTAGTGGCTTAAAACAACACAAAATTTGATCTTAAAATTCTGGAAGTCAGCAGTCCAAAATGGGTCTTAGGGAGCTAAAATCAAGGTGTTGGCCTTGCTGCATTCCTTCTGGAGGCTTTGAGGGAGACTCCACTACCAGTCTTTTCCGGCATCTAGGGGCTGCTTGCATTCCTTGGCTTGTGGTCACATCACTCCGACCTCTGCCTCTGTCAAGACATATCCCCCTATGACACCAACTCGCCCACCACCTTCTTTCTCTTATAAGGAATCTTGTTACTACATTAGGCCCACAGATAATCTAGGAGAATCTCTCCATCTTGATCCTTAACATTATACCATGCGGGGTAACATATTTACAGGTTCTGGGTTTTAAGACATGGATATCTTTGGGGGGCCATTATTCTGTCTTATCATCATGGCTGTTTAAAATAAAAGGAAAGGGAAAGTGAAAAAAAAGAATGAGGAAGCTCTATACTTACTGATGTGGGAAGATTTCCAGGATATATTGTAAAGTAAAAAAAGCAAGATATGGAAAGAGCAGTGTATATTTATGCTGCATTCTGCATAAGAAAGGGGAAAGACTATTCACTTACATTTTCTTAAAGGATCTCTGGAAGGGTCCATAAGAAACCTTCTTTTGTGGGGGTAAGGGGAATGTATGAAATTAGTAGACAGTGATGGGTAGGTTATAAGACTTTTTATTTAATGTATGTCTTTTTATATTTCTTTCTTTTTATTAATGTCTATAAAATAGGGATCTATGTATGATCATTCTGTAAATAATCAGAACACTGGGAAGAAAACTGGAAGGCAGGTAAACAGCCAAAACAGTCAAATATATTGGCTACAGTAAACATTTTTGCTTCCTGCCAAAAATAACTGCTGAATTAAGAAAAATTTCTAATTTAAAATTATTTTTCCAGTGATTCTCTAAAGTGGTATCATGATAAAGGCTAGCCTGACACTGGTTTTATTATATATTAAACCCATTTCATTTTCTCAAAATAAAACTGTGCACTTATTCAACAAATATTAACCAAGTATTAGAGACACATCAGACAAAACTCCTGCCCTTATACATCTTAATGACCTAGTGGGGGAGCACAGGTAATAAACAAATAAATGTTTTAGTAATACAATATATCAGATGTTGGTAGGTGAAGAAGAATGTAAGAGAGGAAGGATATAAAGTGCTAATGGGGAAAATACACAGTGTTAAAAGGAGTAATCTTTGAAAGCCTCACTGAGAAGGTGACATTTGCACAGAGAACTGAAGGAGGTTAAGCAGTCACTTGGTTATGAGAGAACAAGTGCAAAGGCCCTGGCAGGTGGCGTGGCTGTCATGTTTATACCACTGAGAAGCACAGAGGCTGGGACAGGATGATCAAGGAAAAAGAGTAGGAGAAAATAAATCAGAGAAGCAGCTGGGGGTAAGATCGAGTAGGGACATATGTGTCACTATAAAGACCGGGTGAGATAGGAAACCCCTGGAGAATTTTGAGCACAGGAGTGACATGGCCTAACTTGTGTCGTCAGAGGGACGCTAGCTGCTTTGTCGAGTTAGATGGAAGACTGTCAAAGTGATCCAGGAGAGGGAGACAGCAGTGGACTGAACCAGCATGGGGGTGGCAGAAGTCGTGGGGAGTGCTTGGGCCTGCATTTATTTTGAAGTCAGAGCTGACAGGATTGGCCAATGGACCACACGTGGGGTATGAGGAAAGGCGAGGAGTCCAGAATAATTCTATGGTGGTGACAGATATTTACATCTCCTGGGCTTTGAATTTTCTAGGGCAATGTCTCCTACCGT